ATCTGCAGAGCTCCGCTAAGAAATAGCGGAGCTCTGCAGATACACTTTTTGCCGGCTTGGAATTCTCCTTCTTCTCATCCTTCTTCTTCTTCTCATCCTTCTCCTTCTTCTCATCCTTCTTCTCCTTCTCATCCTTCTTCTTCTTCTCATCCTTCTTCTTCTTCTCATCCTTCTTCTTCTCATTCATTCTTCTCCTTCTTCTCATCCTTCTTCTTCTTCTCATCCTTCTTCTTCTTCTTCTCCTCCTTCTTCTTCTCATCCTTCTCCTTCTTCTCATCCTTCTTCTCTTCTTCTCCTTCTTCTCATCCTTCTTCTCATCCTTCTCTCCTTCTTCTCATCCTTCTCCTTCTTCTCATCCTTCTCCTTCTTCCTTCTTCTCATCCTTCTCCTTCTTCTCATCCTTCTCCTTCTCCTTCTTCTCATCCTTCTCCTTCTCCTTCTTCTCATCCTTCTCCTTCTCCTTCTTCTCATCCTTCTCCTTCTTCTCATCCTTCTCCTTCTCCTTCTTCTCATCCTTCTCCTTCTTCTCATCCTTCTCCTTCTCCTTCTTCTCATCCTTCTCCTTCTCCTTCTCCTTCCTCATCTCCAAGGGCATTTAAATTAAAGGTACAGTGTTCTGCACTAATATAAAGGCTCTCTGAAGCCTAGAAACCCTTTTTATAAGTTAAATTCGCAGCGAATAAATTTGCATCGAATCGAATTTCTTCCTCAAATTCGGCGAATCAGCCGAATCGAATTTTTGAATAATTCGCTCATCTCTACTGATTTCTTTTTATGAGGAGGTGAGCAAAACCTTGGACAGAGGGGCGGCTGTGGTATACTTGGATATTGCAAAAGTGTTTGACACACACGGCTAATGTGTAAGGTAAAGTCTACAGGCATGGAAAAATCTATATGTAAATGGATAGGAAACCGGCTGAAAGATCATATTCAAAGAGTAGTGGTTAATGAATCATACTCTGAATGGTCTAGGGTTGCTTTTGGTGGTTCAGTGTTGGGACCCTTACTTTTTAATATATTTATAAATGATATAGGGTCTGGGATTACAAATACCATTTCAGTCTTTGCAGATGACACCAAGCTGTGCAGTGGAATAACGTCCTTACAGGATGTCTTCAACTTACAAGCCTACCTCAATGCACTGTTTAAAACCACTTGCCTACAGGGCACTTATACCCCCTTCCTGTCCAGGCCAATTTCCAGCTTTCAGCGCTGTCACACTTTGAATGACAATTGCGCGGTCATGCAACACTGTACCCTTATGAAATTTTTATAATTTTTTTTGTGACAGATAGAGCTTTATTTTGGTGGTATTTAATCACCTCTGGGTTTTTTATTTTTTCTTAAACAAACCAAAAACCACAGAAAATTTTGAAAAAAAAATTATTTTTATAAAATTTTGTAAATAAGTGATTTTTCTCCTTCAGTGATGTGCGCTAATGAGGCTGAAGTGATGTCCACTGATAGGCTGCACTGATGGATACTGATAGGTGGCACTGATGGGCACTGATGAGGAGGCACTGGTAGGTGGCACTGATTGGCATTGACAGGCATCACTGATGGGCACTGAAAGCAGCACTCATATTTGGCACTGATAGGCGGCACTGATAGGTGGCACTGATAGGCGGTACTGAATGGCACTGATAGGCGGCACTGACTGGCATTGTTATTTGGAACTGACTGGCATTGTTAGTTGGCACTGACTGGCACTGTTAGGTGGCACTGATAGGCAGCACTGACGGGCACTGATAGGCGGCACTGATGCGCACTTATAGTTGGCACTGGCTAGCACTGATAGGTGACACTGATAGGTGGCACTGATGCGTGACACTGAAAGGCAGCTCAGATGGGCACTGATATGTGGCATTGATGTGCACTGGTAGGCACTGATATGTGGCATTGATGTGGCACTGATGGGCACTGGCAGGTGGCATGGATGAGCACTGACAGCTGGCACTGATGGACACTGACAGGTGGCACTGCTGGGGCTTACACTGATCATCAGTGCCCTGATGATCAGTGCACAGGTCCCCTCTGAGGGATGCTGATTACCAGCTCTGCTCTCCTCTCGAGCTGTCAGCGTGACAGAGAGAAATGCTGATAACCAGCATTTCCCTATTTACATGCGATCAGCTGTGATTGGACACAGCTGATCACATGACCGAGCCGAAATTTTCGGCTCTTTCCGTTGATCGGTGATCTGCTTTGTCCGAGGGACACAGCGCACCACCGATCGCCGCACTGCGCGCTCCCGGAGCTGCGCATGCGCGGTTAGAATGGGACAACGTCATATGACGTCCTCCCAGAATGAGAGAACCGCCTTGCACCTGCCATTTCTCTATATGGCGGGTGGGAGGTGGTTAATTGGGCAACTATGTGGCAAATGAGGTTTAATGTTGACAAATGTTAGGTTATGCACTTGGGGGCTAAGAATATACATGCATCTTACTTCCTGGGGGTGGTACAACTGGGGGAATCAATGGTGGAGAAGGATCTGGGAGTGCAAAGGCCAGTTATAGGTTTAAGCAGTTGCCATTTATTTTATACTGTTGGTATAATAGTGAGGGGACACACTGGACACCTTGGCTGCCATTGTGCTATATGCTGGGTGTCCCATGTGCCCATGTGACTTTAAGGAGGGGTGTGCTCCCTCAAGGCTTACCTGCTCTCAATCTATTCATTATTATACATTTGCATCCACTATGGAGGCTTTCAAAATTTATAAAGTTAGGATAGAATATTGGGGTGCTGTGAAGAGCTCTGCAGCTTACATATATATTTGCAAATGTGTGCAAACTAAACCCCTGTTTTTAATGTGAGCCGTTAGATATGACAGTTTGGTTGGTTACAGGCTGATTGGTAAGTTGAGCTGGAAATTTTTCTCTGTTGTTGTTTGACATGATAAATATTCAGCTGATCTTTTGGATCCCCCTTCCTATTCTCTTAAACTTCTTTCAGAAGCAAGGGGAAGCAATCAAACTCTCAGCTTAAGAATTCTGAGCAGACCAAATCAATCAACCATCACTCCAATAATTACAATGGAGCCAAAAACTACATTTGCCTAGCAGTCCTAAAAAGGAGGCCACTGCATACGTTTGGGTTTTTTTTATTGACTCCCAAACCACAATATTCAGTACTTGCAGGCCAGGGTGAACTTAGAATTTTAACCAACACCCTAAGATTTTATATTCCAGCAAGATCAGTTGATGCTATAAAACACTGATGAGCTACTGAGAGCCTAGCAGGAGAATTCAAGTTAAAAGTAAATTTCCTGCATTGCTGCTCTTCAGAGCCGCTCTGACAGCTTTCCACAGCTTTGGTCTCTAATAGTGTACTGACTGCTAACAGCTCTCCTGCAGCCTTTCCTCAATTTAGATATATTTTTGAAAGGATCAATTACATTATTGTCCCAAATGACATTGCCAGATGTCACAGAGAGAGGTCGCTAGAGGAACTCCATCAAGATTTTGCTATAGGGCCCCTGACGTTTAGTTACACTCCTGGCAACATCTGTTTTGGCAGTATTAAATACAACCTTATTTTTCCAGACATATTTGGAGTAGGGATGAGCGGAGTGTTCAGTCCAAACACAAGTTTCACACCAAACATGCGCTGTTCAGACATTCTTCCAAACTCTGGATGTTTAGTGTTTTGGCGTGGACGGACAGCATGACATGGATTCCCTGGTCATGTAAGTGAATTGGCTGGATGACATCAGTGGTTACTAAGGACTCGGTGGGTGCAAACACCTGCTGCGTCCTCGGCAACCATTGATGTCACATGGCCCTTTTTGCTTACTCATCCCCAGGAATCCATAGCCATGTAAGTTAAGGGGTGAAGTTAGGGTGATATAACACCCCTGATGACAACAAATGATGACAAAACGCTTTGGATGGAGCTTCATGTGACGTCACCATGCTGTATGGCTGCTGGCCAGAACGTTTATACATTGGGAGTGCTGCAGCTCCGTGATCATTTTTGATGGCCATGTATCTATTGTGAGTGCATTCATTTATTTTTAATAGATTTTATAGTTTGGGGCATACTGCACTATTAGTATTCATCTCTTACATGATTTACTGGTGGAAAAACAGAGTTGGAGTGGAGCCACAGGCAGAATCATCTCTGCATTACATACCAGGGATGTGTTTGGGGTTAACCCTTAAAGCACTGTTGGCTTTTTCAATATGAAAGCCCAATAGCTCTGGTAAGAGTTCTTATATGTGTAAGGGACCGCCTGGCGGTACCACTAGCGCTCCACTGATTAGGCGTCCCCAGAGCACGGAATCTAAGCCCCAGAGTACTTGTTCACCAGAGCCCCTGATGGTGGGGATGGACTTGGAGTACCCCGAGACCAGGTCGTGGCTCCTGAGTATACCTGTCAGTGGTAGGGGTATTTGCCAGGAGCTCCCACGGGGAAGAGCCTGATGTGAGGAGGTCGGGTGACCCCGATGGGATGGATGGATGGATTGCTGAGCAGATGCAAGGTCAGACAAGCCGGGTCAGTAACAGTGGGGTTGGTGCGGTACAAAGCAGCGGGCAGAGAATAGTCGGGTCACATGCCAGGTCAGCAACAGGAGGTCAGATCTAATAAGGGGCATCCAGGAGAGAGGTCAGGCAAGCCAGGGGTCAGGGTAGGAGAATACAGCAAGGTCAGGTCCAATCCGGGTCAGCAACTTACAGAGAAACAGGATCACAGGTACAGGTATGCAGAAGAGACCAGAAGGCACTGAATGACAGCTCAGGGGCCGTTTAAATATCGCGCCCTGCGCTGTCATTGGTGCCCGGCGCGCGACTGCGGTTCCTACTGCGCATGCGCGAACCTTAATTTCCACGGTCGGCCAGGACCTGGTGCCCGCGTCCCTGCACAGAGCGGCGCACTGCCTGCGCCGGGACCAGCGCCGCGGGGATCCCTGACAATATGTCTGTTGTCTTCACCAGGATCTTACAGGTGTTAATCCTTTTTTGATTCACTGAATGCGGGTTTCTCTGTTCCTTCTGATGGCTAGGTTTCACTCATTTAAGAAGTTCTTTGAGCACGGACCTTTGTATATAGTGGATGGACTTTAACACTATTTAGCACTGCACTTTTTTATATTGTTTAAGGGATTGTATCTATTCCTGTGTTAGCTGCTTCTTAAGTATATTTTTCTTTTTTTTAACAGTTGTTCTTATGTATAATTTAATCTAAGTGCAAAGATTTATTACAATTTAGGGTGATATAATTGCCTTAATGTGGCCATGGCATTATTTGGTCAATAACATTGATGGCCATATGCAGGCAATGACGTCATCACTATTCCAACTCCTTCCTTTATATTCCCAATGACAGCTCAGGGAGCTGTCATTGGACGAGCGGCTGTTGTCACATTAGGTTTCTATGAGTGTTGTTCATTGTGACTGAGGATTTACATTGTTCAACAATGTGATTGACAATGGATTTACTTTGTGGGACATTGCTTTTTAAAGAATAAAAAATGTGTGTTTTTTACTGTTTACATTTTTTATTTGATATGCCTTACAAGGACCTTACAAGGCCTTATGACTTTTACAAGAAAAAAAATAAAACACTAAATTTGCTGATAAATGACATTTCATGGCTGGCTTCTTCTTTTCTGTTAAGAGAAACAGCATGGGCACCTCTTTAAAGGTCCTGCTAAATACATTTAAGACCCTTAAGGGTCTGTTATGTATTTCAGGGAGTTCCATGCGATTTTTAGAAAGAAAACGAAGCTAACAGGGAGCTGTCATTTACTGGCATTTTTTTGTAAATGTCAGTGTTGCTGTACTAGGTTGTATACATTACACAGATGCTCTACTTCACAAGCAGGTTTGGGGCACCCCCTGGCATGGTATTTAAAGGAAATGGGCATTTTTGATGATTCAGTTTAAGCTTTATTAAAATTGCTGCTCCAGACCAAATTTAATTTTTTATTTTTTTTATTCATTAGTACATGTCTTCCAGGTCAGTGCCCAATCTCCATGTTATTTGTTTGGCAATACCTAGCCCAATAGCCAAGAAAATGGCTATTATTGATTTTACAAATTTAGTTGTCTTTGATTTAAATGGGATCTGGAGCTAGAATCCAGACTTATCTAATATTTGTCGAACCCTGCTCACCAAACCCAGGTACGTTTGGCTCGTTGCTAATTGGGAACTGTTTGTTAATATCAATTTCAATCAAAGGACAGGCACCAAATAAATGGTCCTGCTTTGACTTGCTAATGAAGTAGTAAGCATATTATTAACATGTATCAAAATGCTTATTTTTAGTCAAAAGAAGAAAGCACACATGCAATAACACACTATATAAACGCACATTATCGGATAGTACATAGGTGTCAAAGAAAACTAATTGTCACCAATTATTATTCTCAGCACCCACATCATCTTCATATGCATCATTAAGCTTTGCATAATCCTCCATAATATTAATATGTATAACTTAAAGTAATACTGTGATGACAAAAATAGGGCTCAGCAATTTCTGGCCTTCTAAAAATACCAGATTCCTGGCTATTACACTGATCATCTGCCTTAAAGAAAATCTATTTTAAAAACTTTTCTTTTGTTTTGAATGGCATAAGAAAACCTCAACAGCTTGTCTATGCACCCTGTGTGCTGCCTTGGTCTGGCAGTTTAATTCTGACTGTCTGTGCCAATCAGAGAAGTTTCTTTTCACTTCGTGTACTTGAGATAACAAATAGTGAGAGAAAATATGGACAAAATTAGGAGATTTCGGTACAGGTGCCCTAATAGAAGATTTCCTCTTAACTCCCATTCTGGTGACAACTACCCATGTTATTATTATTATACAGGATTTATATAGCGCCAACAGTTTGCTCAGCACTTTACAATATAACGGGAGACAATACAGCAACAATACAGTTCAATACAAGAGGGATAGGACTGCCCTGCTCCTTGGAGCTTACAATCTAGGAGGGAGGGGCTAGTGGTATATTATTATTATTATACAGGATTTATATAGCGCCAACAGTTTGCTCAGCGCTTTACAATATAACGGGAGACAATACAGCAACAATACAGTTTAATACAAGAGGGTTAGGCAAGCATTACACTGTACAATTTTCAGTCCAATTTCTGCCCAATTTCCTTTAGATTTACCTTCAACTATGTAGTGCAAGAGACTGCCTAATTGGATACAATTGAAAGTGTTGTTAGTTTTGAC